GGGAACGGACCAGGGAGGGGGCGGGCACAGCTGGCTCTGCCTCCAGATAGGCAGAGCCAGCTGTCAATCACGCAGCTGGGTGGATCTCGACAGTAATGTCGGGATGCGTCCCGGCTGCGTCGGTCTCAGTATACCGCGAGCTGTAGCTCCCTATATACTGAGCTTAGGGTGACGGGAGGACGGTAGTTTGTGTCCACCCGTGACCCTTAGGAGAACTATGGGGAAAAACACTGACCCCATAGTTCTCCTCTAACAAACATCCTCCCTTTGAGAGTCACCAGCCTACACTTTGCATGGCTGGTGGTGCTCGTCCTGGCCGTCACTGACAGCTCGAGTTTCCAGTAGTGACTGGGAACCAATCAGAGTGCTTCCATTATGATCAGCTATAACACAGCGATCACATCCAGAGGTTTCATTGGCAAAACAAGCTTTTAGCCTACAGGTCACACTGCAGCCTGGAGGTGGCAGTGCGCATCTGTTTAATCCTATAATTGCTTGATACCGTTTAAGTATTAAAAAAGATACATGAATGAAAAAAATATAGTTTAAAAAAAAATAAATTTTCATGTACTTGTTGGCCTATAATAATATACTATCATTGGCCTATTTTATACACTTTTTTTTTTTTTTCATGGGTAAGTATATATTATATATATATAATTTGAACATAGACATTAGTCACAGAATTATTGTTATTGGAAAGTGAACCAACGCATGCCGATGCTTCTAAATCTGGCCTGGGCATCAATGACTTCTTTTCACAAAAGGGTTAAAATGTCCCGTTCCCTAGCATGCTTCAACAATGATCACATAAATAAAGAATGTTATTACAGTAGCGTTATTGAGACAGAAACACAACAACATGTTCAGTTAGCACATACTGTACAGTGACCATTAAAACAAACACCCCGGGTTGCGGGAACACAACTTGAGCCTAAAAGTGAATCTACTGTTGAGCCGTCTATTGTGAATAGCAAAACACAGGAATTTCTACAAACAGGAATACTTCCCAGATGCCCGCAGCGTGGTTCAATGCAATATGTGGTAATAGTGTGTAAGTGACAGCTTAAGCGGCTCAAACTGTGGGGCTAATACAGAGCCAGTACTATCTGACAAGGGACTTCCATGTCAAGGTTCACTTGCTTTAGTATCCCTATGACCTCATGTGATCTTTGACATTTTACTGTAAGTTCAAAAAGTGAATGTTCAATCTTTTTAAATCAGTTACATTCATTGCAGACCTCTATGAAGATCTATTTGGAGGTATTTTAATATCCGGCGATCCTTTCATAGATGTCCTTGTTCAGGAATTCCCTGTTATAGGGTTGCAACGCTGTGCTCCTGACTGTCCTGTGTTGCCACATGGGCTTTCAATGGGGACTACAAGTGTATCATTAAGCCCATTGGGTGAAGTGTGACAATGCCCGTCTGGCCTGAACTGGTATCAATAAAACTTGTTGCATTTCAGGGGGGAAAAAAATACTGCGGTAGTGCTGCGTATGTGTTTAGATAGGAGAAGGTGGATCCCCGAGAGCCTCATTGGGCAGAGAGGGAGGTTCGTATTGTTTCCGAGCTCTTGCTATGGCCAGGCGAGCGGCTATGAGGATGTGAGATACTATTGTGCGGGACGATTTAGGACATTCTTCTAAGCCTATCCCTAATAAGGCAAGTTGTGGGGACATAGTGTACTGAGTCTGGGTGACAATTGATATGAGGGTGGACACGGCAGACCGGAAAGGACTTGAGCAAAGTGCAAGAGCACCATATGTGGGATAATGATCCTATCAGGCCGCAACCCCGCCAGCAGAGAGGAGACGAGGTAGGGGGTCAGTGGGGGCAGTTAAGAAAACCTGTTTGTTCTCCAGGGGCAAAGCACCATTTTGCTTAAAGGAGAACTATGGGGTTAAAGTGACATTAAACCCTCAGATTTTTTAACATAAAACAATACTGTAATGTGCGCCTTAATGTAATCCATGGTAGTTTCCCTTCTCTTTGCTGCTCTTCCTTTTAAATCTGTATCTGTTCTCATGCTGGGCAGAACTTCTGTTTTGCAGCAGACTGCCTTGTCTCTGGAATGGATACATGGTGTCTGTGTATAGATTTGTATAGGCTTGTAACCTGAGCCAGCACTACAGGAAGAGGCCCTGAGCTGAAAAGGGAAGTTCTCCCCAAGCATGAGAAGAGATGAGGATTTAAAAGGAAGAGCAGCAAAGAGAAGGGAAACAACCATGGATTACAGTAAGGCACACATTACAGTATTGGTTTATGTTAAAAAATCTGAGGGTTTAATGTCACTTTAAG